GAAGTAGACTACTACAAATCTATCTAGCCACGGTCTAAACAAACCATTCATACAACGCTGAAATGTGGCTGGTGCATTAGCAAGTCCAAAGGGCATCACTATGAATTCGTAATGCCTGTATCTTGTTTGGAACGTCGTCTTGTGCTGATCGTCAGGGTGGACTTCTATCTGATGATACCCTGACTTTAGATCTATCTTTGAGAAGTACTTACAACCCTGCACAAGATCTAGGAGATCTATGTAGGGCACAAGTTCTGCATTCTTTATAATTATGGCGTTAAGACCCCTGTAATCTATGCACATACGTAACTCTCCCTCTTTCTTTAGGACGAATAAAACAGGTGCGCCAAAAGGAGATGAACTAGGCCTGATCCATCCTTTTTCCAAGAGCTCGTCTAGTTGCTTGCGAAGCTCCTCTAACTCTTTGGGAGACATTCTGTAGACTGCCCCCTTAGGTGTCTAACTGCTAGGTTCTATTTCTATTCGATGCTGAATAGATCTCGGTACTACTCCTCAAGGTGACTCAGACAAGTCTTTGTGTTCTTCGAGGAGACTGGCAATAGTAGGATGAACTTTCTCTTCCTCCTTTGGCAGATCTGTAACAGGCCTAACATAGGCAACAAACACCTGCTCTTCGAGTTGCTCCTTTCGCACAAGTCTAGCAAATGCAGGATCGTTGAGGCAACAATGTGCAAGGATTATCTATTCTAGACTCATGGTACATGCGGACTTGCTTAACTTCGCCTCACGGACTAGGGAGCCTGCACTCGTGCTCTCTAAGGTGCTGCCTCTCCCCAATCTGTACCCAAAACTACATCAAACGGGAGACTCTCTTTGACAAGGAGAGTCAAGGAATGAAGGACTTTCTCTACCTTTCCTTCCTCTAAGTGAAAGTATGTCTGGACTCCCTCGACGTATTCCTCGACATCCATTTTGTTGTTGTCTGTGAGGATACTGACTACAGGCTCTTTTAGTCATTGGACTTCGAGACTAAGCTTCAACTTTTTCAGCGATTTACGACTAATATAACTCTTGGTGGCCCCGCTGTCTATAAGGGCCCCTACTCTAGCTCTAAAGATTTCTATGTCTGCAAGAATTAGCTGCCCTTTCCCTTCCTTCTTCATCTTGGCCCAGGCTTGCCTCCTCTCCTTCAATTCTTCGGCTAAGCCTGTGAGGGAAGCGTCTAGAGATACTCTAGCACAAACAGTCTCTGAACAACTTACAAAACGCTGGCCAACAACCTCTGCCATGGAGATATGTGGAGTGGGAGCCTCTATCTTGCGTGCACGCTCAGATCCACGTATTCCTGGGGTAGGGGCAGTTGTGACCCCTACCGACAGTTGCCTTTT